GCAACGATTTCAAGAATCATCTTGGATCACGTTTGCTGTGAGGCTCAAAAGAACTTGATACATCCGAGCTCGATACGATTCGTCACGAATGAAATCTACGATAGTTTCACTGTTTGAAAACAAAGACGGGAAGAACCGCAAAATGAATGTTGATATTGACGCGACGCAGTATGTTGGAAAGATTGTTCGGCAATAAAACAACATTTTTACGAATCATCTTGAATCACGTTTGCTCTGAGGCACGAAAGAACTTGATACATCCGAGCTGAATACAATATACGTCACGAATGAAATTCAAGATAGTTGCACGGTTCATTCTTACAAACACAAAGATGGGAAGAACCGCAGATTGAAAGTTGATATTGACGTGACGCAGTATGTTGAAAGGTTGTTCGGCAATAAAGCAACATTTTTATGAACCATTTTGGATCACGTTTACTCTGAGGCTCAAAAGAACGACACACCCACGGACAAATCCGAACTCGATACGCACATTTTGCAAATTGGCACTGTTTGTCAGAGGAAAAATTAGCTTCGAAGCACATTTAAAACTCCAAGAAATGCTGAATGCAATGCAATTCGCTTTGGTATCGCCATTTCATTCTTCGAGTGCCTAATTCGCCGATAGCGACTACATTTAACTATCTGATCTTGCTGTTAATTATCTACGCGTTAATCTTCTTGTTCAAGTACAATTGCAAGTCATCTGCGTCTCATCAGATCTTGTTGCACCTACTTCGTCGCCATTGCGTCTTTGATCCATTTGAAACTTCACCCTCTATTACATACCGTTTCTCCTTTAAATGTTAATTTCTTTCATTCGAAAAATCTATCAGTTTTGAAACATCCATACGTCATCTTTTACCACGGTTCAGTCACAAAATCTAATAATATATTAAGGTCGAAATTTTTCTTGCCATATTTGGTGAGTGATTTAGATAGGTTTTGAAGAATTACAAGGATAGGTCTCAAAGCGGTTGACAGGGTAAAGCTACAGACGATTTAGCCGATCGAGAAACGTTTTTACCAATTATTAAGTACACAAAGTCTAGGTGAAAGGAATTTTGCCATGCATCTTCCTACTATGTCAAAACCTTCAAACACCGCACTTTTTCAGAATATCGCGATTTTGATTGCGCTACTAATTTTAACATTGTTACTAATAATTAAAGATATTTTAGATAGAAATTATAAAATAAAGTATTGCGAAGACATCTCACAAGCTTTATACATTAATCTTGCCTAACATGATTAGCGCTGAATTCATGACTGGTATAATTTATTGTCACTGGTGTGTTTTCTGCCATTGTTTGTATCTGTCAGGGATATTGGTACCTTTCTAAGACTTGGTAATACACCAAGACAAGTTTTAATTGGTGCGCCTTCGTCTTTA